CTGAATGAATACACCTACAATAAAGGCATTTCAGAGGTTTTACTTCTTACGGGCTGGCCTAGCAGCACTGAAAATATTTTGCTGAATTTTAAAGGACTGAACAAAGAGGACAAATGAAGGGAAAAATAACTGAGAGAAAGGATAAGGAAAACTTACCTGTTCTTTTCTCTGTTCATTCTCTACCCTCCTTTCTTACTGTAAGTCCCTGCAGTATTTACACCCACATTTGATGATTAATTTTATCGGCAATCATTCGTTTTTCCTCTTTCCTGCCTTGCTGCAGACAGGGCACTTAGTGTAAAGGAAAGGAACCCAGGCAGAAATTCAAGAGGGGATGGTGTGTAAATGGACACCAGAGCCAGGACCTCCCGCAGCTCCAGCACGATCTGTAGGATTTGGGCTGCTCAGCAGGCTGTAGCTGGTGTTTACGGCAGACATCATGGTGGCAAGGTTTGCTGTTTTCTTGAAATCACCAGCTTTCACCTCTTGCGAGCTGGCCCACCAACACTTTTGTGTCCCTGCCCTTCTTTTTCACGGAAGGCAGCAGCGAGCAGCCTGGTGACTCAGGGTGAATTAGCTATTGGCATCTTTTCAGTGGGCTCCAGCTACCCAAAAGGGCAGCTCAAAGGGCTGGAGCTTTTAACATTTCATGCCTTGTTTTTAATCATATTCACAATTACAAAGATGCGACTCATCCCGAGCAGCCTTGTGCACCTTACATCATAGAAACTGGACAGCGAGCTTCAAGCTTATCCAGACCGATCCCCAAATAATGCTTGACCCAAAATCTTTCCATAGTAATTCTGTGTTTCCACCAGAAGTCTGAGCTGGTGTCTATACTCAGTTTTCCATTCTCTTCTTTATTCACTGAATAAAAGTGTTGCAGAAGCTACAGAAAGCCTATGGCACATATGAACTCCTCATGCAGATAACTTTCTTAAAATATAAGCTAAATCATTTCAGGATTAAATGTCTCACACGTTTGGAGACAGCTTCTCTCTCTCTCTAAGCCCTGTGCTGTGAACGACACTGTGATTTGGGAGCATCTGTGCAGCAGGACCCAGTGTGCAAGTGGGAGCAGCATCTCCAGCAGCTTTCTCATCGTTTTGGAGCCTTCATTTCAAAGACGAGCAACACTCAGCATTTGAACATGAAACTCTTCAGATTCAAATTGCTACGGCAGTTTGCAAGTAGCAAATTAGAAGTGCATCCTAGGACTGGATAATTATGGAACAAACAAGGTTTTAAAAGAGGAAGCTCAGTTATAGCTACGGTAAGACATTGGCTCCGCACGTGGCGGCGCAATCTTCTCTGATTTTACAAGATACATGGAATTGTCCCTAACATTTGGATGAGACATGGTGGAACTAGAAAGCTGGGGGGGTGGAGCACACAGTTTTCCTAGGAACTGGTTGAGAGATATATTCCCATCATTCCCATCAGTTGGACTAGATCATCATTGTAGATCCCTTCCAAATGAACTATTCTGTTCTGTTCTGTTCTAGTCTATACCCATATTTGCACAAAATGAATGCCTGCTCCAGAATCATTGTGCCTGAGATGTTCTAAAATGCAGAAGGAGCCAGAACATTGGTCTTGTAAATAAATGACCAGAGCTGAATTTCAGAATTTCCAAATTCCCTGGAGCTCTCTCTAAATCCAAGCATTTCAAAGTCTGCTCTTGCAGGTCAGTGAACAGATACGCAGACTGATCTTGAAGCTGTTTGAAACAGCAAATTAAAAATAGGAAGTCTGGATGTCTCCTCTGTGTTGTAACCTACACATGAAAAGACGAGCACATTTTTTCCCTCTGATCTTGATGTAAGGGCTTATTTCTGTAATGGTGATGTTTCTATGACAGTACTATAAAGCAGTCTCGGCCCCCGTCTTCCCACCTGGTAGCCAATCCTGAAAATCTCCATACAGCAAGGCTGGTAATAAAGCCAAATACTCATGCTTGAGAGAGGAAACCCCACACCGCAGAATTCTAGTGACGTACCGCAAAGATTCGAGAGCATCGCTGATGGCATCCGCAAAGTTTTTGTCTGTTGGGACGCTGAAGTACTCACGGCAATAACTTGGTCTGACTCCAAGGATTTCGACCTCGCAACCTACGAGCGAAAAATGTGGTAACCTTTGCTGTTTCACCTTGACCACAGACCCCACACTGTGGGGTCCAACTTCAGGTTTGTAAATTCCCTGTGACATTACTTACCTTACACCCTCCTTGCAGGAAACCTTGTGGTTGGGAAGGGAAAAGGGGAGAGAGGTTGGTTTGATGAGTGCTTGTAGCAAACCGTATGTTGGATCCTTTTATTTCCCTCTCTAAAAGGCAGGTTTCCGAGCGACCTTCCCACAATAAAACTCTTCGATTCCCTCATGGCAGACCATTTCCACCTAAATCGCTAGCTTGCTTTCATTTTAACTACTGCGGCCACATAGCCTCATTTCCAGGCTTCCAACGTAATAGGTTTAGATATTGTTCCCTGAAAGTTCAGCAAATACTTTCCAGTTAGACATGCTGTATCTCACATCGTAATATCCTCTATAAACTGTATTTTATGATGTGATATTGGCACTCCACTGTTAAATCTGTTTCCCAGGAGGTCTTATTAAAACAGTATAAACCAATTAACTCTCTTGGTAACTTGCAGCCTTCCTTGCAAAATACAGTCTGTTTTGTGGCCCAGAAATTTATGGCAACAAATCCTACAGGAGAACATGGCCCTGAACACACAAAAACATGTTTTTGTGCGATTTTTTGCCCTTTCACTCTCCAGTTACTGTGCTGCTGAATAACATTAATATTTAAAAGAACTGTGCTTTCAGAAACATCGGATTCATGCAAATTATCTTTTGAGAGCCCCACAGTCCTCCCATCACAGTTATGCATTTTCTGGTGCATTCCTAGGGCACAAGAGCAAGAAAAGAAAAAAGAAAAAAAAAAAAAAAAAAAGAGATCTTTTGCAAAATGGCCTCTGCCTACAGCAATACAGTCAGGTCAAAAAGGCAACTCCAAGCCATAGCCTGAATTTGCCTACATTTGGGTCACTTTCTGCTTCTCCTTTGGGGTGAAAGGAATAGGCATTAAAGACTGTCATAAGTTGACTTGTTGCTTGGAGGGGAAGAAGGTTGTGCAGGAGGTGTAAGTACAGGGAGGGCACTAGAGCAAGCAGAGCTGCTTTCAGAGATGATTTACAGTGGTTTGCTTACTGGGACATTTGGTAAAGAGAATTTGTCAGTGGCTGGCATCTCAGCCCGCGTGAGCTCACATCGCTGAGGTGCAATACTGGGGCACGGGGAAAAGCACACCGCTTGCAGGTTAAGCTGGCTAAGAGACTTCTGATTGTGACTTCTCAGGAGTACCATGAAAAGTTAGAAAAACTTAAATATTTAAGCTTAGGAAATTTTAAAAAATCTTCACCAATTTGCAGAAAGCCAGATAAACTGGATGGAGGTTACCCTTTCCAAAAGTTAAAGAGTCCTAGCACACATGACAGATTCAGTCTCTTCACCCAATGGCCCATGGTAGTGGCTCCCAGGTCTCCACATTCTTTGTGTGTTTCAAGGGACACCTTCTATTATGATTAATTGCTTGAAAGAATCAATTATTTGCAATAATAAACAGAACGTATATTTAACTAATTTACTTTTATGTGAGAACATATTTAAATCATTTCAAACCTCCATCTAATATTAGGGGTTTTTTTAAATTGTTTGAGTGTGTGATGGTGTTCACTTCTCATTCTTCCCCTGTTGCCTCAAACTGATATGACTTAATCCTCCCCTCTCTGTGTGGAGCTACTGCAGTGTTTCTCTGCCCACCATGAAAGTAATCTGAAGCATCGATGAACAGACTGGAGATTACTTGACAAGAACTGACTCCATACCATCCCACAGTAAAACTTCTGTACATCCGTATCCAGCACCTTCCAGAAATTATGTTGTCTCCCAGCTGCTACCTAACCAAATCATCAAAAAAAAGGTATTCCATGAATGACCTGAAGTCATCTCCAGGAAGCAGGAGCCCTTGCCCCTGCCCTGAGGGCCTGCAGATGCAGAACATCTTTTGTAAAATGTTCTGGGTGCTACTAGCAGCAAAACATGGGTTTTCAGCTGCCTCAGATGCCAGAAGTAATGCAGTAATCCTCTCTGGGCTTTGCTAGTATTTCAGGACTGAACTGGAACTTCAGAGTAAATGTCTCCTCTGACACTTGAGTCTGGGAAAAGATTGGCTCCAAAGCCAGGCAAGAAGTTAAGGACGCGTTTGGAAATGTGTTGGAAATGCCTAGTGTTTGAGTTTGGGTGGATGACTGCTCATAGCCAATGACTAATATGATGATTTAGCCTCTTCTTACCTCTTCAGATACTGACATCAGATTATAATTTTCTCAGATATCGTTCCTTAGAATTACTCATGAGATAATTTTAACTGGAAGCATTAGCCTCTTGGGGATCTGGGATATTTTAGTTGCTGAGATATCTTTGCTATTTCTAGATTGTCAAGTGATCAGCATGACATAAAGGACTACAAAGGCAGCAACAATTAGAAGTAATTTTGGCCACTAAATACTGGTCTTCAAGTGTGCAGTTCACTGGCAGTAACATTGAAAATTCAGGCTGCTTAGATACCAAGAGCTTCCTTTTTTTTTTTTTTTTTTTTTCTCCCCTCCGTGATGAACAGAACTTAAAATTGGATTTTTGATGTTAAGGCTTGTTACAATTCCAAAATACTAGCCACAAAGACCCTTTAATAATTAAATTTCATTTTGGTAGAGGCCAGGACAGCTGGTAAATTTTCTCATTTAAATATTATGGGAAAAGAAATTTAAAAGTATTTAGAGCCAGACAAAGGGAATGTTTAGTTTTTCTTGGTTAAACTACAAATAGATAAGCCATATTTGCTATGATGTAATGTTAGATACCTCTCTGCACAGTTCTGTATGACGCTAAACCTTTATTTAAAAAGCCAAACTTCTGGAGCAAGAATAAGGACTTCTTTCACAGTGATATATAAGCTCCTCTTTATCTATCTGACATGGAGACTTGAACCCCTGCCAGCTTTAAATTGCATTTCTAAACATTGATTTAACAGTTAGACACTTCGTGTCATAACAGAAGGTTTTGAAAACTTTCCAGACTAGCTCCATGGTCTGGTAAATGTTGTGTTTAAAAGGTGAAAGGTTGGGTTTAGAGTCTTTTTTTTTTTCCCTTTCTGTCATTTCAGTGTTGAGAAAAGATGTCACTGCACTTCAGCTGAAGCAGTTTCATAAGCTGCTGAAAAATGAAGTAACTTGAGAGTCTGGGGTGACATCACCCACCGGGCTGAGCGTGAGGAGCGCTATAAAACTTTGACTCTGGTGGTACCGCCGGGACGCTCTCGCACTCCTCTGGGGCTTCTCCATCCACTGGAGCAGCAGTGCTTCAGGCAGGCAACCTGGGCGTGAGGCTGCACCTTTCACCCCACGTTGTGTTTTACTTGGCAAACTGTCAGAGGATGCACGGCTTTTTCCCCATGAATGCCTTGAAGAGAAGAAACTGCCTAATAAACACCGTGAAAAAAGCAGAAGAATGACCCTACATGCCAAGCGCTCACATTTTGGCGCAAGCGGCGGTTAGGACTCCCGGCACAGTGGTGTTTCGGCTCCTCCACTCCCAGAGACAGGAGAGCCCAGATGAATTCTGCCCACAAGTTGTCTTTGCTGTGTCTACGTTGGGCTCACAGATAAAGCTGTGACGGACATCCCTCCTGCTCTGTGTCCCTGTTTGCTGGGGTCTGGATTTTCATCCTTTAAGCACTGATTACGCATGAGAGAGGAATATCAGGAAGAATACGAAGTGGTAGATTTTAGGTTCAGACTTTACAAAGCTTGGAACTGACTCTGAGGAGGAAATGGCAGTGGTGTAAGTTAACCCTGGGAGTCAGCTCGCTGGCATTAGCAACGTGTTTCTGCTACGTTTGATCCCTCTTGTTTGTCTTCACTGCTGGCTAGAGAGAAAATAGCATCTTCCAGAACAAAGTGTGATTAATTTGGCTGTACATTGCAGTTCCTATTAACAGTTTCCCAAAGTTTTCCTGTTTGGATTTTTATCAGATTTGCAAGATTCATTACTAAGCAGCAGTATATCCCCAGACTGGAAAGTTTCACTAATAGCAGTTCATAGTGCAAATGTCTGTGGGACCTTCACCCACCTTGGTTATTAAACCCTTATTTTTTCTTTCATTTTGTTTGGCATCGCTCCCCAGTCAAATGCCTTTTAAAGAATGAAATCTTTAAAATAATAAATCTAGAAGTAAGGATTACATCCTTACTATGGAACTAGAAAACAGTTCCAAAAAACGATATGGGAAAAAATAAATAAATAAATAAATACTACTGCATCTGGAGTGACTTCTATTTACTCCATTTACACCTGGAGCCCTACTGCAGCCCAACTGCCCTGTGTTTTAGTTCAACAGTTCCACGTTGGACCCTGCTTCCTGCCCTGTGCCTGACCCTGTATGGCACACGTGTCCGTTGCGGCCACGAACACGCTTAAAAATAACCGTGTGCTCAAGCGTTTGCTGAACTGAGGTACTGATGACTTAGCCAAAGGTTGTCTGTCACAGGTGAATAATTAATGATTAATGACAGAGAGATGTATGCGTCACAATCCACAGCTGAAATAGCAGATCCACGCAAAAATTCCCACTGGCATCAATAGGGCACAAATTCTCCCTGCGTGTCATAGGGGAGTCAATGCATGCACTTGGCAGCATAAGCACTGGGAAAAGGGAGGCTCTGCTGTTCCTACCAATTTTCCACTGGAAATAGTAGATAGATAAGTGTGAAGGGTATACATATGTATACAGGGATACATAAGTATACAACTCATATGTCTTCTCCCTGGGAGACCCTGCTCAAAGGGCACCATGAAGGAGCCAGGTAAAATCCAAAGGCATTTAATGGAACGTGATATCATTCGTTTGGATTTCAGTAGCTCTCTGTAGATTGTTACATCTATTCAGTGCATAATTACATCTATTCAGTGCAGTTACATTAATAGTTAAAAATGAATAGTCTATAGAAACAGGTCTTTTTGTAAATCTATAGAAGAATTTCTACATTCTTGTATAATTTCTATATCCTACTGTTTGCATTGCTGTTAGGTCACTTGGGTGATCTCCAGTGCAAAGCAGCTTTTTTTTGAGAGCTGATCCAAACCATTGTATCTAGTCTGCAATTCCAGTCCCTCGGATTGCCTTTGTGTCTGTAAGGCAATATTGTCACCCTCAGATCTTTTCGCCCTTCAGTGCTGTAGAAATGCTCTGGATGGCTTTTCAATGTTCTTCATTTTAGTGTGCTCTTTCTTCTCTTTCCTCAGAACTGTGGCCTTTTTTTTTCTGGGACACCATTAGCCACATTGCACGGAAAGAGCGTGACCAAGCACACCTGTGTTGAGATGGAAGATGAGCTGGCCGGGAGCCGATGGCATGAGCCAGCTGCTGCTGCCCTACCCGCTGGCACTGGCTGTATTCAGTACACCTCTTCTACCTCACGGTCCTCTAGCCTGCCGTTACACATTCGACGGTACTTGGATACTGCTTAGGTAGTAGAGTTAAAAGGTCAAAAAGTTGGGAAGCTGGGTACCTTGCAAGGATCTGGCTGCACAGCTGGAACACCTATTTCCACGTGGGTCCCTAAACGGACAATGCAAGGGTATACTCCTAGTTGTTAAAAAAGACTCGTTATCGTACATCCTTAGTGATGTCAGTGGTCCAATGCCCAAAAAAACAGGAATGGAAAAGCCAAGTCCTTCCAAATGAATGGCTCAGACTCAGAGCAACTAGGACCTCAGCTGAGTTAATGATGGAGGACAAAAGTGTTCACTCCAGCTCACCAAAGGATGCTTTGCTTTCAGCTGGATTTTGCTGTCCCCACAGCAAAAGGAGATCATCTTCAGCTACTAATTTCCAGGTTAAAATCAAACAAGCATTGGAGGAGGGTGGTTACTGTTTAACTTTGATCAGTGACATGGTCTACAGCATTGCTCTGTGAACCATTTAGCACAGCAGGAGCTACAGGTGGGCAGGAGCAGGAGCAGTTGGAGGAGGAGGAGATGCTCTGCAAGCCAGCAACCCCTGAAGGTAATGTTTCGTGGAACACTACCTCCAGTGACACTTCAGTCTTTTCCTTTCTAAGCATATGCAAATTGTCACGGCCTGAGAAAAGGTAATTCATTTCTATAAGTGGTTAGTAAAGCACTCATAATTCTTGTCTGTATTCAGAACTGTGTTAAAGAGCCATCCTACAGTGTATGGAGCGCTTAGACGTAAAGATGCACTGTTAAGATGGTAGCAATTTTTGACATACTAACCTGGCCAGTAGTACATGGAAACATTCTTTTTTTCTTTCATCATTGTGACCCACAAAGGCTCCGATCCATTCCACCAGAGAGGCAGTAGGCTTTCTTTATTCACACCAATATCAAAAGATACATTTGCCTTTTGGTCCCACATGTAGTTTCCAATCATCTGATGGACCTCACAGTGGCGACCTTCAGAGGTGGAGGAAAAAAAAAAGAAACAGTACAATCAGATTGGTGTTCTTCAGCAGAAAGATGTCACCAGCACCACCACTGCATCAGCCAGGAAATCAGCTCAAAAGCCCTGACCTGAACTCAGGGACCTCTTACCTTGCAACCTCTCATACAATCTTCTTGCCTGCGTTACCTTTTATTGAGATCCTCCAGGTAGCTCTCAATATCCCCCAGTTCAGCCACCTAAAGGTTAGCTGCTGAAACTTGTCAGCCACCCGTGTTCCCTTCACAGTCAATGGAGAAGCAGCAGCACCTCTAGAAAGCAATTCGTGCCATCCTGAGGTAGGCATCTAAGGTATCTGGGAGGAGTCATCCTCTGGAGGCGCATATTGCTTTCTACCAATTGTAGAGAAAGATCACATCATTATCTGACCTTCAGACTGCCAACTTTTAGACAGCTGCGACCAGAAGAAACAAATCCTGCACCCCGTGGCCTGCTCAACATGCCGTACCCAGTCCACACACACAAACCACGGCAGCAGCAGCCCATGCAGGTGCCACATCTTTGGTGGACGTCTGGCTCTTTCTACGCGCACACATCTGCCAAGTCTGAGGCTATTTTAAGGTACCCACCAGACCACAGACCCAGAGGGCTGTGGGAAGTAGTCTGTGAACGGGCAGGGATAAGAGCACAATCTGGAAACAGAATAAAGTTTGGGAAGCTCGCATTTCCCCTCTCCTTTATCCAAAGGGCACATAGGTTTTCCACAAACAAGCAAAAACTAGGCTAAAACCTTTATACATTACTTTCATTTTCTGTTATTGTTAGCTTTTTTTTTTAAAAAAAAAATTAACACACTTTGGTCTGGGTTGTGGGGACAGCAATCATTTCATCAGACATTTTCAGCTCTCTTACTGCATCTTGGGAGTCCTTGGGCAACTTGATATTACAAGATACTAGTATATAATAGCCAAGAGACGTCTTCTACTTCTTGTCATTGTCAGAAGAGGAGATACTGTGTTTAAGATATAATTTGCAGGTGAATTAATAAAAATGGGAAAAGAAATGTTGAAGATTAAGTTGTACTGGGAGTTCACGATGTCCGTATCTTAAAAAGCAATGACTAATGCATGTGTGAGACACTGTCATCATTAGCTGGTGAGTCACGATATTGCAAGGATCCAGATAACAGGCTTTGATTATTGTGAGACTGAGCGTGGTGATCAGAACTGAAATAACCTCAGCATGTTTGTTTTGAAAAGGCATCATTCTGGGCAGAGAACTCTGTACGCTTTGTGTACATGTGACCTTGAAATGGATTTTGAACTCTCCTTCCCTACTATGAAGTATTTCAATTATGCAAAACATTTCCTCCTCCCCAGAGGAGAAAAGGAGTCCCAATTTGTGGCAGTCACTATTTACCATATCAAACCAAACAGGTTTAATATAGGAGAACTGCTGGATTGGATGGGCGGTCACCTGTCCTCTTTAGGCTGCCAAGTGGTTTCTTCACTAAGTCTAAAAGGAGCTAGAAGAAAGCCTCTATAGTGCACCAAAACCACAGCCTTCCTACTTAGAGGGCAGCTCCGTCTCTTCAGCTTCGTGAAGTCCACATACTCCTCAGCGTATATCAACCTGCTAAACTGCAGGCAGGCAACCGGTGCCAGCCCGGGAAACCCGCAGGTTGGTGCTGAAGCTGCTAGGTCACTTCTCAGATTTCTTTTTGGTCACCTGTACAGCCTCAGTTCTTTACATCCCCTGTTGTAAGAAAGATATTTTTCTCCAGCCTGAGAAAATGACCTTTGGTGATCTCCTCTTTCGTGATTATCAAAATAGCAACATGGTGTTAGACAGTCACCATAACACACTGAACTTATTATTGCTTTCATTACTGCAACTTTCCTCTGTAATCAAATATTGTCTTAAGAGCTATAAAAGTAGAAACATGGCAAAAAGCAATTTCAGCATGCAGATGTCATTACTTAAACTCACTGTAGCTGTAGCAGAAAGCACCCCTTCCTCAAGCAAGGAAAACAAAGGAGGTATAGTTCCCACGAATATGATAACTGCTGTATCCTTCTGGAAGAGAGCCAGCAAAAGCATTTGCAAGTCTGCGTGCTACAGCTTACTTGGACACTACACTTCTTACAGCACTGGTTTTGTCTAAAGCACATTCCCACGTCTCCAGGCACTTTTGTCAGCATTCAAATGAATCTATGCAAAACAAAGATGAAATTAAAAAAAAAACAACAAAAAACAACAAAACACGCAACCACTTGGCCACCCACAACAACAGCACAGTAGTGCTGAGCACTGTGCACCCTACACATGAGATATGGAAACCAGAGCGTGCACTTCTATAGCATTTGCTACAGGAATGACCTTTTCTTTCTTTGGCGATCTTTCACTGACTGCAGGGACACGGTGTAGGATCTCCAGTAGGCACCGTATATCATACAGGGACCACCTGCATCTAAATCTACAAGAGAAAATGCTCCTCTGAAACACTCAATAATCTTTCTGTTTTTTAAGAGCAGCATGTGACAGATGCGTGATGCTATATCTGGTACCACAAAATGGAAGTAAATTGTCTCTGCACGGAGCAAACAAGATTTATCAGCGAACCCAGGGTGTGTATATTAGCCAACTCACCAAAGGCACCACAATCTGTACCCACGTGCTATCCACCCGATGACAAACATAAGAACCTGCATTTACCTCAATTTGCTATGTAATATTATATGCATGCCTTGCCGTGAGGGTGAGGCCATTCCCACCATGACGTCCACACTCCCTGGGACGTAACAAGAGCCAGGAGGGCACGATGCAAGCACAGGCTGCCAGGGCACTATATAGGCTGGGGAACGCCCCTGGTGACCTGCTGGATGACTTGCTCTGGGAAATGCTTTGCTCATGCTGCCTGCCTGGAGGAGGAAGAGAACAGGATTTTAAAGTCCGCAGCACCCTATTTCCACTCTGGAGCAGATGCCGTGGTGTTGCTGTCCCCAGGGACTGAGCCCAGCCTGCTGTGAGCAGAGCATCCTGAAGGATCCAGCTCTGCCTGCTTTGATATACGCTCTGCTGCTCTTCCCCTGCTGGGTCTCATCTGCCCTGCTTTAAAAAGAAAGACCACAGGGGAAAAACAAAACCTGCGTGCTACATCTTAACTGGCCAGGAGAAGACCAGGGCTCGTGAGAAGTCAGAGGGAGCGCTGGTCTGGGCAAAATGGCCCTGCCATCTGTGGGCCCTCAAGCAAAAACAGTACCTGCAACATGTGCAAAGACAATTTACGTTCCCAGAAGAGCTTGCTGGCAAAGTCTTTCCAATTTTTTATGATCTCAAATACCAGACAGATCCAAAGGAGAAACATCTTAGTCAGGTGAGACTTTGCAATCCAAGTAGCATCACATCAAAAGGCACAGAAAAATCTCAGCTATACACAGCATTATTATTTTTTCCCTGAAGGGGATTGATTTAATAAGAGTGTGAAAGTCTTAATTCAATGCTTTCATAACGGGGCCAGGGCTGGGGTGCACAAAAATTGCTTCCAAAGCATCCAGGTTAGGCTTTGCAGATGCTTGCACGTGCGGGAAGGCAGGTCCTGCATCCCTGGAGAGCAGGCGCTCCAGGCTGTCGGTGTCCTGATCTGAGTGGCAGCAGTGGGCTGGGGGACCACACCGGGACCCCTGACCGCCCACGGCTGGGTACGGCTTGAGGGCACCGTGGCTCCAAGCACTACAGAGGACCTGCATAAAACCATGTGCAAAGCTGCTGGTTGCACCATTAGAGTGGGTACGAGCCTCTGGCAGTTTTCTGTTCGTCAGCTGTGACTTCAGCTCTGGGCAAAGAAATACCTTGATACGTGACTGTCCACTTACTGCTGCTAATAGCTGGTAGCAGGTATACTAGTGGTGAGCTGTGAGGTTGTATCTAGTAAGGAGGAAAAAACTCTGTGCTTCAATTTGTAGATATGGTCTTGTGTTAGAGAAAACTTTCTGTTCTCCACTTTGAAAGTGTTTTCATTTTTTTAACTGGTAGAAAGCAAACACAGATTTTTTTACAACATTTTGTATATGTGTGAACGAGAAAAATCTTGGCACTTGGCATTGCAGCCTTCCTGCAGGCGGTGAGTAAACAAAGCGAGATGAAGAATGTGAAAATGAAAAACTCTCCCGGTTCCCATTCTCTTCTCCAGCCTGTCCTTGCTAGGATGGTACCCCTTCCCTGCCAGTTAATAGTATTACCACAAATTTCTTTGTGTTCTTTTGCTTCTCAACACACAATTTCACAAATGGAAAGCTACTGCATCCAAGAAAGAGAGTATTGATTAAAATACTGTATGTCACAAACAGAATTTTTTAATCTTTGCTGCTGCTGCTGGCATCTGTGGTGGTTAAAAGAGGAGCAAAAAGAAAAAATCCTATTGCCTTGTCACTCATCATGCTCTTTGTGTCCTTCTGGCTTTTTTCTCAGCTTGGACAGTGAAGCTGAGACAGTTTCAGTCCATGTGTACCAATAAGAAATTTCCCTGTACTACTCCTACCCCTCAATTTTTTATGCCTCAGACAATCTGCACGTATTGTTTATGTAGCTAAAAACTTGCTTAACTGCTAAACAGAAATTGTCAGCATCCTTTCCTGGACCAGGCTGGAGTCTGCATACCATTAACGGGGCAGCAGAAAAGAGGCATCCACTAGAGCCATCATCAGATGGGGCTTCCTCCGGGCACTGAGTGGATGGAGAGTGGAGATGCTGTGATGTAAGCCAGGAGACCTCTCACAGCAAACAATAAATGTACTAGTACGTGCGCACATCAGCTGGTCCCCAGAGGACTCCAGGGGTGGGAGTCCAAAGGACATTTGCATGGAATAAACGGGGCGTGGTGTATGTCAAGATTTGCTGTGCTCAGGGGGAACCAGAAGCAGACATCCTGCAAGCTTCAGGGGACCTCGCAGCCTCTCCGCCAAGTATTTAAGATGAGGTCCTGTTTAACGAGGGACATGGAGGCCCCTCACTG